ATATAAGATAAAAAGGGTCGTAATTCAACTGGTAGAGCTGAACGATATTTATCTAAAGAGAAAAAAGTTGTACAACGAGTAGATAAAAGAAAAAGAAAACGAATATAATCATTATAAGTACTACAGTAATTTAATTTATTTTATTTTTACTTCAGTTGTTAATTCAATATTCTTTTCAATAAATACATTTACCACAAAAAAAAATTCAGTAACTTATTAAGAATTTAACAAATTCATTCCTAAATTCAATTCAATTTTATTCGTTTTCTATGATTAACTTAGAAAGTATTATTATATTTCCAAAAATGCATTTATATATATTTTTTTCATTCAAAAAAGATTATAGATGTTTTTTTCATATGATCATATTAAATCTGATTGAACACTAATAAAAGCTTGAAGAAAAATCTTATAATAAAATATAACGTAAGACTAAGTTATCAGAAAAGATTTTGTTTAATTCTTCAAAAATTCTAAAGCATAAAATAGAGAAATTCTTAAAGATTTTATTATTTATTTAGTCAATTTGAATATTTATACTGAAATCAAGTCTGAAATATAAAAATACTAGTAGAGATCGATGCAAAAAACTATTTCAGGTTGTGTTTGTGTATCTGTTACGAGGTCAAAAGTAGTGGATTGACCTTTTACTTTTGAATTGGTAATAGACACACAAATACTCCATATTATATGTATAAATATATCTAAAAAATTAAAATAAAATAAAAGCTTACATATTTAATAACACATAAAAGTCATTCAAACTGTTGAATCAGAAGATATTTAAGTTGAACACACATTGATATAAGATGAGAAGATACTTTTGCACGTAATTTATCTCGATAGATTAATTTGTGACAAAATTCTAAAAATATTTTATTTATGTTAAAAGAATATCTTTTAAAATATCAATATAAGTAAATATTTATACTTTCATAATGGGAGAAAACACACACACTACTTTATTTATACTTTACTGATCCTTCGACCGTGCTTAGTTGCATAGTTAGTGATATTGAAGAGTTATATAATTCAGTAGCATTGATGGAATAGTTGCTAATTATTGAATAATGAATCATAGAAAAAGTATTCGATAGATTAAAGCGAAATCAGTAACAACATAACCAATTGACGAAACAATAGACAAGAATTATTATTATTTTAGTAAATAAGAATTTTTCTTTATCCGGAAACTGATCATGTAACAATAACTGAACAGTCTAATTATACTGCACTTACAGTTTTATTTTTGTTTAAAGTAGATAAAAATTATCGACTATTTAAATATTCTTAAATGAAATTAGTTTCGTGTTAAAGACATATTAAACAATATTTTCAAAACAAGACAATCATATTTATTAGTAAATTAAAAAAAAAGATTTTGCTACATTTTTTATCAATAGAAAAACAAAATTAATACATACCAACCGAACGAGAATAGCAATCTTTGAATTGAAATTTTGTAGCATTTTCCAATCGAATATTATTTAAATTTCGTTGTTCCATGTCAAATGATATTGTTAAAGAGTTTATAATCTTTCATTGATCGACGTAGTTTTCTATACAAAAACCCCTTTTTTTTTCAATGAATACAATTTCATTGAAAACAATATGCGAAATCTATTCTATACCCCACTTGTAGGTTATTTCTAAATCATCTTCTTTCTGCAACAACTGAGCAACTATATATATAGAGAGCGAGAGCGAAAATAATGACAGGTATTATTTGATAATATATCTCGCTGCTGTCTGTAATTGTTTGTATGTAATATCTTTGAAAAAGAATAACGCTTATTTAAATAGTTGATTTGAACAAAACATAACAACTGCATCAAAACAAATTATTATTGCAAAATATAGAGAGAAAAATCATATGAAGCATTAATATTTTAATGGTATATGCATAATATACGCACAAAAAGCATATAATCTCCGATACTGACATTTGAAGATCTATTGATATAAGTTCCAATTTTTGCATGCGATTTATACATTAATAAAGATGATAGACGTAATAAGTAGAACATTTTTATGAAAGTATGAGTAAATTATCTTCATAAAACTACAGTAAAAATATTTGTGCAGAATATTTATGATATAGTTGTTTACCATGTTCTTCAATGATTTCTTGCTGATATAAAATAATCAAAAGTATATGATTTATTTTAAAGTATTTATTTCCTTACCATCATTTGTGCTTCACTTATATTTTCAAGTCTTCTTTAAAACACATCATAATAATTCTTTTGGACTAATTTCTCGAAGACAATCTCTAAAGAATAAAAGAATAAAATTTCATTTCTTTTCTGATTAAAATTTACTCTCGTATTAATTGATAACGTTGTTGCAGACGATTTGTTTCATGTAATGGGCGAGCTATTGTTCAATCATCTGATGACCATACTTTACTGTGAGAATATTCAATGTCAATCACTGTTTTATTATTGTTATCTGTTAACTCATTTGAAGGAAGAACATTTGCTGATGTTAAATTTAATGTAGCAGTTAACATAAGAACTAAATCATTCATATTTTTTTTCTCTGAAAGTTTTGAAAGTAATATATAATTAAATCTTTTTGTAATTTTTACCCTTCTTTTTTCTTTTCAATTTCTGATATTAGATTATCTTGTGATGTTAATTGTGGTAATTCAATACTTGTTGTTGTTTGATTTTAGTAATATATTTGGTGTTGCATCTTCAATTGATGATTGTAATTTATTAGCTCGACGACGTTTACGTGCATTAGAGTTAGATTCCTAAAAAGATTATCAATGATGAAGTCTTTACAATGAGTTGATATTAACCTGATTTGACTCATGTGATTATGTTATTCATGAATGCGATGAAGGTCGAGAAGAAGAGATATCAGATTCAACTGAATTTGATCTTGTTTGTCCTCGTCATGATTCAACAACCTGACAAAATGCATAATAAAGGGTTTCGTAAAAAAACTGTTTTTGTAGTTTTAACAACATTTCTCAAAATGTGTGAATTGTAGCTATTCTACTTTCCACATCATGTCTCACAAAAGAAAGAACATATATTTACAACGACTGGTTGCGAAGCATTTTCATTTGATGGAGGAATAGGCAATGTATGTTGTTCATCCGACGATCATGTTTGTTGATATAGTCTTAAATGGTTATTCAATTGTAGATCACGATTTCGACGTTGTAATGTATCATTTTGACTAATTTTTGATAGAAATTTCGAATGTTTTTCTTGATCAAGCGTTGATAATGAACTGTTGCGATGTGCATGACGATGATGAGATCCTGAATGACTTGTTATTGGTTCAGCAAGTGTTATAGATCGATTATCATCAGTTGATGATGATGGGCGAGCATGTGAAGGTGGTAATACTGCATAAGAAGGAAGAACTGGCGTATTATTATTAGAAAGATGATGTTTTGAGAATGAAGGATTAGTAGCACTAGATGAATGAGATAGTAAAGATGAAGATGATACAAGAGCAACACTAACTATAGCTTGAAATTTTGAACTAACTTGATTCTGATGTCTAATTAATTAATATATATTTAATTAATAAAATTCATTAAGTTTCATTTGTACTTCATTTGTGTTTTTTCTAAGAATCTCACTATATGTTGTTTAATATAAGAATTTTGTAAAATATCTTTTGCTGTTGGACGATCCTCCAGATTCTTTGATCAACATTGATGTAACAATATCAATTAATGAATCACTATACATTCTGGGTATTTGTGATGTCTGAATTGAATAAAAAATCTTTATTATAGAAATTTATAATCATATTAAACCTGTTCAATAATTATTTTAAACTTAAGTAAATCCAAATGATTTGCATTAAATACTTGTTCAAATTTTGCCATTTCATTAACGCAACAACCAAGTGACTATATATCCGACTAAAATTGTAAACAATACAGTTTAATTCTTTTAAATTAACTACAAGCCTTTTGTCCATAATAATGATACAAAAACATCTGAAAAAATCATTTGATCATAGATTTAAAAAATATAATATCATTAGAGACAGAAAACTAGCTGAAAATAAAATAAAATCAGTCTGATAAGTTATTTTCGATTGAAGATGTTCCTTATTTTGTTCATTTAATAAAGGAATGTTTTCATAAGAATCTTTTGAAGATGAATTTCCTAATTCTTTTCTAAATTCATTTAGTGATATTTTTTGTTGAGCAATTAAACCTTCATAAAGTCTTTGTGATTACTGTGTTATATTACGAAATTCATGCATACAATGACGATTTGATAAAATTACACCTTTACAGTAAAATAGTTAGATGAAAAAACAAGGATAATATCTAAATACTTGCCAATCATTCCAGCTAAAGCATCAACAACAGAAACAACAATTGGCTATTATTTTGTTCTTGCTATACGCAATTCTTTAGTTTAATTGAATGCTAATTGAAGTGACTAGAATAAATGTCATTTTTTATTTTCTCGAAAGTTAATACAAAAAACGACTTAAGAAAAAATGTTCTTAGATTGAATTTGCAGCTTCTTGTTCACGTCGTCGAGCTTCGGCGATAAATGTAGCAAAATATGTTTCGAATATTGTTTTCAGTCCATTAAATTCTTCTGGTGCAAATGCTTCAGCAAGTTGATGCTGGTTCATTAAATCGACGAAATTGTATCTGAATGTGGTTAAACTATCGAGTAAGAAGTCCATAATATCGCTATGATGTGTAAAATTTCTGATTTTTTTCTCACATAAGAGCGATGCGAGCGAATGAAGACTGATATTAAGTTCATTGGCTTTATTTGATAAAAATAAATAAAACTGTTGGTAAGTCGTTTCGTCGATATGCTTGCGAAAGAATAATTTATATTGATTTTCATTCAGTTCATGATTAGCTAATTTTTCTTGAAATGCTTTATAAATGCAACTATCATCGTATCGATGTGGTTTACCAGGTAAACCATCTAAGTAGTTATGCAATTCCTAGAAAAATGTGAAAAAAACATATTATTATTAAGCACAAGACTGTTCTCGATTTGATACATGATCTGCTTCTACTAACTGTGTTGCGTTATTCTTTGAGCTCGTCTTACCTCTGATAATGGAATTAATATATCCGCAATCAGTTTTCTTTTTTCGTCAATTTTTGATTTTGTTAAAAGATAAGTCACTTTTGATTCAAGTTCAACAATTCTGTTATTTTGATGATGGACAACGTTATTTTTATCATGAATAACCTTATTTTGATGATGGATAACGTTTGATAAACTATCAAATAATTCTTGTAGTCGAACTTTAATATCTTTCAAACATGGACCACCTTTCTGTTCAAAATGTAATAAAGCAGCTTGTAGAGCATCATGTGTTTCCTTTAAATGAACCAGCTCTTCGTTCAATAAATTAAATTGAATTGAATGATGATTATCATTATATTTTTTCACCATATTTGTCAGTGTACTGATGAAACTAGATAATGTTGAAGCATTTGTTTCATTTTTTATATCAGCTAAAATGATATTGAATTGCTGTTGAAGTTCATCGGGATAATTGAGACTAATAGTCAAAATAAAGTCGTAAATATTTGATTTCAATTGACCTAGATAAGATAAGAAACCGGGCAGAGATTAAGAAAGTTTTGAATCGGTGAAAATGGTTCCAAATATTATAGAAAAATTTACCGTAATCCATCTGGTTTAACAATATCTGACTGAATATCTTTAATGTCTTTACTACGAGAACGTGTGTTGGTATAGTACGGACGCTCAGCCGAAAAAGCAGAGCAAATGAGTGAAACAAGAGCAAATGCTCAGTGATTGGTGTTTTAGTTTTCCAGATGGGCTAGATATAGCTTTGATATCAGTTGATAGAGAAAAATATTCTTTATCGAACTGTGTTGTGGGTTTTTTATTAAAAAGAGGCAAGTAAAAATAATAGAGGGCGCCAGCTTAATAGGCTTAATGTGATCGATTGAAAACACTGCAACATTAAATAGTTCTAGATCAGAGACTGTTCTAGATCACTTCTCTCATACTTGTCCTGGATTTTTTTATTAAATACAAATCCATTTAAGAATAATATTCAGTTGTTCAGCAAGCTTATGGTTCCTGTATGAATAGATTCGTGAAATAATAAAAATCTTTTCCTATTGAAAATATATTTATTCACAAAAATGACATTATATTTGTCAAATAAACGTGCAACAATGGTTAATAATGTCATAAATAGCAGAAACCAACCACATAAATGACACAATTGAGAAAAACAATGAAGTACAGGGTATAAATTAAAAAAGAATTAATTTACTCGGTTGACAAAGAAAATGAACCACATAGTACAACTGATAAAAAGAATGAAGTACACGGTACAAATGAAAAAAAAGAATTATTTGATCAAAGTCACAGAGAACAAAAAAATACATGTTGCAGTTTATGAAAAGCATGAAAATTTGTACAAATTATGGTTGTTCGTTGCATTGAAGGGAAAAATCAGATTAAGATGATATAGCTATTAATTTTCCACAAAGCCAACATGATAAACGTGTATTTAGTCGGACCCTAAATTGAATTTTAAATCATGGTTCATCAGACTCAGTAGTAGAACCTGTCGAATGGAAAATCAAGTCGAAATACACTTCTCAGACAATCTTGACGATGATCTTATAAGAATCAAGTTATCATTGACTCTTTCTTTCAGAATAGCATCCAATGAGTCTGTTTCGGGACCAACTAAAGGGGATGTACTCAGTAGTAATCATTAATGAAGAAGATATTTGATGCTATGCTAAACTTTCAGAGATGTTCTATTTTTAAATGAACCGTATAAGTGTTTATAAAGATACAAGAAGATTAAGTTGTTCAAGTAATGTCATTCTCGTATTAGCAAGAGAAACATTATTTTCAACAACACCAATTTGATATGAACAAAATAAATGAAGTCGTTTAATAAACATTCTAATACAAAGTAAATGAACATCTGATAAATTAAATTCCTAGAATATAATCACATAAAAATATTTAATAAATATCAAATTTTGATTATAGTTGAACAAGTATTGAACCACTATTTGTACCAAAAACGGATTTAGATGGTTGAAATACATCAATTAGAAATGCTACATAAAACTAATCGAAAAAAAGAGAATTTATTTCAATTCAAAAATCGTCTTTACTTTAATAAAATAATCAATTTTATTCATTAATTCATTTATATTCACTGGTGTTGTTGATAAAACTGCAGGTGGTGATGATAGAAGTAATGGTGATATTGGTGTTGTACTTAAATTCATAATATTTCCTTCGCTGTCTCCGCGCTGTTTTATATTACTTCCAAATAAATACGATTGTCAAATTGGAATTTTTTGTAAATTAATAAATAAATTTTTAATAAATCTTTTAAATTTCTTAATACTTCGGTGTTGTTTCAATAGGTACAGCTGGTAGTAAACATGGATCAAGTCCATGTGAAGTTGTAAGAACACAGATGAAGTTGTAGTATTACTTTACTTGTTGGCATAAGTAGTAAACGAAATTCGTCAACATCAAGTATAAAAAGAATAAGTCGCATTTGATAATAAATTTAAAAAATTTACTTAGTAGAAAAAGGCATAAATACATTTCAAGATTATTTAAATATATCAAATCATTATGTATCGGTCTATCCTATGAGAATAAATTAAATAGAAAAAAAAGTAAATTCTATATTTATTTACTGCTGAATGCTGATCTGAAATGACATATGAAAGTAAATGAAATAAAAAATATTCAATTGAATCAAGTGCTAATGATTTTAAATGTTGTCTCGTAATTGTTGTTCATCCTCGAACAGTATCCGGTTAAACATAATGACGCCAATTTAGCACGTAAATGTATTGGTAACATTCTTGAAGATGTTTGATTACTTTATACTGGGAAGAACAACAAATGAAATGGGACAGCTAATCAGAATCTTCTTTTGTGGTAACACGATAAGTGATTACTGTTGAAGTATATAACGCGAAATTTGGACGTTTGCTTCTGTTTGTACTTTAATGTAGATTGTGACAGACTACCGTTGTCTATGATGGTTTCAAGTTATTTTCAGTGTACCAATAAGTATTGAGTCATCTAAAGAAGTTTTGACAAACTCCACTAGATTTTGCTATCAAGTTTACTTTAGTAATACCATTGTGTGTCACATTCGTGGTTCGGTAGGAAGCATACATAATGTGTTAAGTTATTTTTCGTTCTCCACTCACAACAGAATGAAATGGAGAATATCTTGACGAATGCTATGTGGAAGCGATTCATCGAAAAAGTTACTTGCAGAGTTGCAATCAACAAAGAGAATATTACCTACATAAATGGAAACAGTTCGAAATAGTTTCATATCGGGATCAATGTCTATGAATGATATTATTAATCTTCTTCGTCTTCGTAGTTCTACACAACAGCAATACAATGCCAAACAACTTGATGTATCTAATGACGTTATTGAAGAAAATGTTCGAACTCTCTTAGAACAAGATTATGTGTGTCGATATGTCTCCAATACAAACGGTGAATTATCATCAGCTTATCCACGTTAAATTCTTGTACCTATCCTTGATAAATGATCTGAATTATAAACACCGAAAATTCAATCGTCAATCAATATTCATGATCGATGTATTGAATCGCGTTTTATTCGATGTCGATCTCTTCTCGTTCTTTCTGCACTATTCATCAATGGAAAATACATATGTCTATCGGCTACTCTCTCTTCGTGGGGTGAAATATATCCACGATTCAGTATGAATCTTTTAGTGGATGCTGGCAATAAACGTTTTGCTTAACCAGTCACCGATGTTGACAACACTTTCAACGGCATCGAACAACCTCAACAACAGAGTATTTTCGATAAACTTCGCGGTGTTTATATCGACCTATTGAATATATTCGATGTTGGTTCAATAGTAAACTTGATGGTACAAAAGAAAAATCTTCTATTTGGTATGAAAATAATCGCATCGAAAAATTTGGATAAATACGATCGATATAGAATATTTCAAATGATATTACTTCCCTATTCAGGATGCGAACATTTTCAAGAAGTAGCCATAAGGAAATATAATGGTGAATTTGTTTTATAAATGGTCTTTATCGAAAAATGATTCTCTACTTGAAATACCGATTCATCTTTCTTTACGTGTAGATACCGATTGGACATTTTGGCAATCATAGAATACTGTTCATTTAACACAGAACTATTTTCAAGTACTTTTTCGTCATCTTGAAACATATAAACGTCGTATTCTTATTCATTGTCTTTCGGGATGGAATCGAGCATCATTATTCATATGCTTATTTCGTTTATCATTATGGGCTGATGGTTTCATCCATCAATCATTGACAGTTGAAGAAATACTATATTTAACACTCGCCTACGATTGCTATTTATTTGGGCACAATCTACCAGAACGATTGCAACGTGGTTAAGAAACTCTTTATTTTGCTTTCATGATCCTTCCACATTTGGTTGATGGTGAATTTATCTTTCAATTATCGAAAAGTGCCCGTCAACATTCGACATCAACAACAACTGGAATTAGTCGTAACCATTGGTCAGAAGATTATACCTATATGCTTCTTCCAAGTGATGTTTCAAAATATGAACGCGACACTCGACCAGAACCTTCTATGTGCAAAAAAACAATGTGATTATTTTACAGAAATCTTTGACAACACTTCATGTACCTGGTATGCCCCGAATGAATGGATAGGACACCTTTCGCCGAACATGTCTTTTCTTCTAAATAAGTGATGTCACTTGTGGAGAAGTATTCACTACATACACGTTCTGATTTTACCATACTAAGGTCATCAATATTGATAGACAAAATTTCACACCATTTTTTTAATACTATGGGATCAATTGGCAGTCGAAAGAATCAAACTTTGCGTCGAGCTTTATCAACGTCGCCAAACTTTTTTTGACAACCAACGACTATACAGCTACGCATAGTATAAATGTTATGAAGAAAAGAGTGAACGAAACAGAACTTTATAATACAGAAAAATGATCATGTATATCGTTTTATAGAGAAAAGATAAGAGACGAATGGACTAGGAGACTAGACATCGTCTAGACATCGTCTAGACATCATCTATGTGAGTAAAAAGAAAAGAAACGTCATCATGACTCTATAGCATATGAATATGGTGGACCAAAACACATTCATATAGATATTAAAAGCATGTTGACTGCCCAAATATAATATTTTAATTGATTTCTAACTTTAAAAATCATAAAAATTCCAATAATGAAGTTTCAAGTTAAAAAAGCAGAGAAAAACGTTAAAGTACAGGGAGGTTTTTCTAAAGATTCTCTAGAAAACCAAGATTACGAGGTATGTGAAAATTTTCAAATTTCTACGTTTCTTCAGTTTTTAATTCTCTATCGATTGACCTTCGAATCATCTTTCTATCATCTACCTATGTTGAGCTATTTTAGACTAAAAAAAAGTAAAATTTAAAAAATTTGGGATTAAATTTAAAAATTAAAATTGTGTTTTAAAGACTCGAGTTTTTTCAAAAATGTTTATCTTTCGATGCTGAATCCGAATATCATATTAAAAAGTTTTTTGTAACTCTCAGTTTCTTCAAAAACTCATTTTTTTAGTCACCTCTTACTAAAAAACCATGGTTTTCTACAAATCCAACTTCCGAGCATTTTGGAGAAAAAACTTTTTAGAGACAAGAAGAAAGAGCACGTCGAGAAACCCTTAAGAATCAAAAGACAACCCGATATGTTCAGCCGTTCTCAAGATAATCTAGACCAACTTTCTCATATAATACGCCTATTAGTTTCTTCTCCCATTTATAAGTACGTACTAGGATACAACAAAAAACGCGGCGTAATCTATCTGAATTATCCAACTTCGTAAAAATACACTACGCTGAACTAGGGAAGAATAAGTGAAAATATCAGACAGAGAAATAGTGAAAAGAGAACAGGAAAGAAAAAACAACGATGAACAACTCAGAGTCAAAATAATACCAAGAAAATTACTATCACTGCGTCTCAATAGGAAACCAATATAGTATACATACGCTTAGACATGATAATTAAATGCTATTCTCTATATTTAGAGATGATCTGAGTCAATGTAAGCCATTTATTTAGTAGCCTTGCACTTTCGTCTTACCGATTGGTGATCATTATAAGTTATTAGATTGACATTCAGACAACAGAACCATTAACAAACGCTTCTGGTGAATATATAATCAGTTGGAAACATAATTATTCATTCATTCTTTTCAAATCTTAGTATTATTAATTTTTTCATACTGTACTTTCGCATCTTTACTGTTCCTAATGGTATAACGTTCAAAAGTAATATTAATATATTGAGAAATAATTCGAGGTAGTGATAAACTTTTGACACACTATACTATACCATGCAAATACAATTGATTACTACTCAACGAGATCTCATTGTTCTTGTTTCGAATTTTTATTCGATTTGGCTAAGTAATTATTTATATTGTACAAGTACCTATTGTTTTATGAAACACGATCTGAAAGGAATGTTGAAGTGTTTAGGGTCAGAAATTTGCACCCCCCCCCCCCACAGATCGTGACAGAGAGCCTCCGAAATCACAGACCGCGACAGAAAAATCCCAATACCCAT